CCCCCCCATTCCAATCATGACTCAGTCCCTGTATCTCAGAGCCCTGCTATTCCAAGGTTGTGTATATATCTTAAGGATGTGTCTCTTATAGACAGAATAGTGAAGGATTCTGTTTTCTTATCCATTCTGCTACTCTGTCTATTGACTGGTACATGGAATCCATTGACATTCAGTTTAATTATTGATACATATATAGTGATTGCAGTACTTTTGTTGTTTGTGAGGTTTGTTGTTGTTATGTGTGTGTGTATTGCTGCTGGTTACTTTGACCTGCATGCTTTCCTATGTTGATTTCACTGTGTGTGTGTGTTTTCTTGTCTGTTTATTCATAATTTTAATGTTTCCAAAATTTTCATGGATTTTCCTTTTCTTGATTTGATGTGAAGGTGTATTAAGATTTTTTTGAGATGATCCTGTACTTTATTAATTTCTTACTCATTTTATAACAGTCTGTTTTATCCTGAAATCTACCTGACCTCTTCACCACCATAATTAGCACTCTCTTATTATACTTTCCCCTCCCTTCACTTTTTAGTTGTCCTGATCATAGACTGATACCAGAGATTTCTTAATTTCAGTCTTGTAGCTTTGTTTCACTCTGGACACTTCCATATCTGGGCGGAATTCTGTGTAGTATTGCCATGTATGTCAATCTTTGGTTGTTGTCCCATTAGCATATTTTGGAGCATTGACTTGGCTTTTACAAAGTCCTTTATTTTTTGTTTATACTGAAAGTTCTAATTTCACCATCATATTTGATGGACAGCTTTATTGGATTTATGATTCTTGATTGGTAGGGTTTTTTTGTTGTTGTTGATGATGTTTTTACAGGGTTTTGATATGTCTCCCTTCTTGCCTGTGTGTTTTCTGCTGAGAAATCAGAGCTTAAACTTTTTGGTTTTGCTTTGTAGGTAACATTTTGTTTTTCAAAAGCTGCTTTCAGGATCATTTCCTTGGCTTTCATTTTGGAGAGTTTGATTATTATATGTCTTGGTGGTTTTCTTTTGGGGTCTGTCCCACCTGGGTTTCATTCAACTTCTTGAATGCTAATCTTCTCATATTTCATGATGTTAGGGAAATCTTCTTCCAGCAACTATTCAACTATATTTTCTGTGGTTTCCTTTGTCTCTTCCTTCTCTGGAATTCCAGTCACTCATAGGTCACTCCTCTTCATGTTGTTCCACATGAATCTTAGGCTTTCTTCATTTTTTTCTTTTCTTTTTTTTTTTCCTTATTTTTCTTCTATCTTACCAGGAGATTTATCTTCAAAGTAGCAAATTCTAGCTTCCTTTAATTTAATTCTGCTCTTTTGCCTTTTCAGGATATTGTCCATTTTTGATATCTTAATATTAATCCTCTGGAATTTTTGCAGGTTTTGTATTGTCTCCAATGCTGTATCTGTTTTATTTTACTGTTCCTGCAGCACTTTTCTGAATTCTTCCTTCTTTTCTTCAACCTTTCTGTGAAACATCCTCAATATCATTCTCCTGAATTCTTTTTTAAGTAGTGCCAGTGCCTCTTCTTCCTCAAAAGCATTTTCTAGCTCTTCCTCTTGGTCATTTGTTCAGGCTACTCTGTCTTGTTTCTTTATGTGGATATAAATTTTCTGATGCTTTCTATGCATTGTGGTTTTGATTTATTTGCATTAAGTTAATGAATGTATGTTGTTTTATTGTAACCAATTGCTTCCTGATGGATAAGATCAGTAGATGAACTTCTCTGTTCACTGTTCATACAGTTCAATTCAGAGTGGATTTAGCAGATATTGGTTGTAGTTGTTGTTATTGTGTATAGCAGCTGGTATTGAGTCTTGTCCACTTGATGTGGCTGTAGAGAGTTTGGTCCTGGCTTGGCTGTATGGATGCAGTTGATATCTCCCATTGGTGAGGGAAGAAGAGAAAACACTCCCACAGGAGAGAAGGAGGACAAAGAAACAAAACTAAAAACAAAAATCACAAAAACCCAGAAGAAAACAATATAATGACAATAAAACTGTGAAAAGAAAGAATAAAATTAAATAACAACCAGGAACCAACGTTGTGAAATTAAGAGTAATTCTGAGCACTATCTAATGGACTCTTGCCTTCACAACCAACAAGGAAGTTTCAAGATGGTCATGCTGTGTCTCTCCGACCTTTTCTCTTTTTCTCTCCCCTTTTTCTTCCTCTGAAGTCTGTTCATTTGCTTCTCCTAGTGAGAGCCAGGCCAAGACTGTCCAGGACTGGTTTGGAGCAGAGTCTGCTGGTGCAGGTTATTTCTGTTGTCTCCTCCCCCTTCAATTATGAGCCCAACCATTCCTGGGGGGTGCCTACTCATAAAGTTCTCACCTCTGATCACCAAAGAGGAAATGAGTAGAAAGAGAGAAAATAATCACACCTTTGTCTCTGAGTCATAGGCAGGCTTCTGCAATGACAATGCTTTTTTGTCTCTCAATCCATTTACACCCATTCAAAATGACTGTAGTGGGTCATATTGATCACCCCAAGTCAGAAGTCACCCCCTTTCTTGCTTCTGTTTAAACTCTTTTTCCTAGTAAGTACTCAATCCACTTATTTATCCTTTTATCTGAAGCTCAGAGTTCTAGGACCATCCTCTGAATCTGTTCTTTCCATTTTCCATATTTTTGCTGGAGAGGGTCTGCACAGCATTTCTGTCATCATCAAGCCCCATGGGCGAGGCCCGATTGAGTGTCATGGCTGTGGTCTGATGAATGTCACATGATTTAGGCCTTACATTTCACACACTAAATATTTATTGAACTACTATTATGAAGTCCTGGTATGGCACTGTAAGGACTGGACTGCTAACTGCAAGGTTGGTTGTTCAAACCTAGCCACTGTTACTCAAAAACCCTACACAGAGTCACTGTGAGTTAGAACCAACTTGACAGCACTTAATAACAACAATTACACTACCATGGTAATTAGTCAGTTCATTTCTTTTAATTCACTCTCTTAGAGCTTGTCTGGTACTGTAAGCCACTGAGTGTACCATTTTTACAATTTAAAATTAGGAAAACTATATCTAACAACTTCCATCTTTACTAAGGAGTTGCTTTTTCCATTTCCTTTTCTCCCTTTACTGCACTCCACCTCACTAACTCAGATGTAGAAAGCTGAATTAAATGCATGCCTCAGTTCTTGGCCTTTTATAGGCTCCTCTCATTATTATGTGTTAGTTGACATATTAGTTTTCTACAACTACTGTAACAGATTGCCACAAATTTAATAGCTTAAAACAACATAAATTTATTTTTTAATAGTTCTATTGGTGAGAAGTCTTGGGTATGGATATCCCTGGCCCCAAACCAAGGTACTGCGTTCCTTCCAGAGGCTCTGTAGAAGAATTCCTTCCTCACATTGCCATTGTACTACCAGAACTCCTTGGGGATAAATACCTAGAAACAGGATTGTTAAACCATATGGTATACTACAAACATAACTAATTTCACTAAATACTGTCAGGTGGATTTGTAGAGTGATTACAATAGTCATATAGTGCATGAAAATTTCTATTTTCTCAATGTTGTTGTTGTTAAGTGCCATTGAGTCAGTTCCAACTCATAATGATCTATGAATACATATGGTTCACTAGGAACAGCTGGTAAGTTTGAACTTCCAACTTTCCGGTTCCTACAGCTCCATGGACAGCTGTATTTTTTTGTGAAAGAAAGGAATTTTATAGTCACTTAATCACCTTAACCTTAGCTCTTCTTGAGCAGATCTCCTGTTCTTTTTCAACTAGTGTTTGCCCAATATTGCAAATCATCCCTTAGAAACCATTCCAAACATAAACACATACGGATTTTACAATACAAAGTTGTGCTTTTAAAATATACTCAAATATAACTATCAAATACATTACACACATGATGTTTTTCATAAGATTTATTTTTGTCACAGTTAGAAAATCTAACTTAGCATATCTAACGTGGTAGTGGTGGTAGTGTGCCGTGGAGTTGGTTCCGACTCATAGCGACCCTGTATAGGGTTTCCTAGGCTGTAAGTCTTTACGGAAGCAGAAAGCATTCTCCTGCAGAATGGCTGGTAGTTTCAAACTGCTGACCTTGAGGTTAACAGCCCTACTTATAACCACTGCACTAGTTCCTTTCATTTATGAGAAAAAGTGAGTCCCCTGTATTTGGCTTTTTTTTGTGTGTGAAAAGCCAAATACAGGGGACCTCTGGGAGCACAGTGGTTACAAATCAGGCTGCTAACCTCAAGGTCAGCAGTTCGAAACTACCAGCTGTTCCATGGGAGAAAGATGAGACTTTCTGCTCCAGTAAAGATTTGTAACCTTGAAAACCCTGTGCAGGGTCACTATGAGTCAGAACCGACTCTAGCGTACTTAACAACAGTAATATATATATATAGAAAACTAGACAAATTAAATGGTCAATCTTGTCATGAAAAATTAGATTCATTATGGTTAAGTGTGGTATCAATGTGGAGATTTTCCTGAATGTTATACAATCTGATATTCCTATAGTAGAAAAATGTCCTTCTTTGAGTGACTTTGTTTGATGTTGTTTTTCTTTTCAGTGCTTATCATGGTCACCTGACATCTTTAATCGAGATCAGTCCATATAAATTTCAAAAAGGCAAAGATGTCAAGAAAGAATTTGTACATGTAGTAAGTACCTTCAATCTTAGAATCAGATTGTTATCACTAGAACAATGTCTAGTGGTAATCTAGTCCAACCCTGTCCATTGACAAGGAGCCATGGAAAAGAAACTAAGATCTATAGTAATTATGTGACTTGGTAATGTCAAAGACCTAGAGCTAATTATAAAATGTGGCTTAAAAGCCATTGATAAATATTTCAAATTAGTATGGTTATACAGAAGTATCACTTTATTTTTTCTTACTTCTTTATTTTCAATTGCTTTTTCTACCCGTGATGCCAACTCAAAGATCAGAGTTGAATTGAGTATATATGACTATTTTAAATTGTTGTTGTTGTGAAGTGCTGTCAAGTTGGTTCCGACCCATAGCGACCCTGTATAGGGTTTTCCGAGGAGCAGTTGGTGAACTTGAACTGCCAACCTTGCAGTTCAAATGGCTTTAGTCTGGCGCATTAACCCACAGCACCACACCAGAACTTCTCTTAAATTGTTGTATGATAAATTATTACATTGATTTAATAGGCAAAATAAAGCAACCAACCAAATTGTTAAAACAATGATACTCATTTAGTGTATTTACATTAATTAAAAATCAGCAATACTTTCATTATCTTAAGATCTGGAAACAGTGCTAAGGTACTCTTGTTTTCTGAATGGTTACAATTTGCAATATAGTTATCAAGTGTTGGTTATTTCATTTGAGTTTTCAAATAGTAAAATCACACTTGTTGGTGTGAATTTACCACTTACATGAATAGGTAGTCTTGACTTTTGAGAGTTTGAGAATAAATGCCAGGTCCTATTCACAATACAAAGACTTCATTTCTTCAGAATTCAGAGATATTAAGGAAAAGAACCCAGTATCACTTAAATTTGCAAGTTCATCATTCTAATATGCCTTTGTGGGGGAAAACGAAGAGGTAAATAATGCAAAACTACATTGATGCTTTCAGGCACCACATCCAGATACCTACAGAGGAAAATACAGAGAAGACCATGCGGACCCTGCCAGTGCTTATGCAGATGAGGTGAAAAAAATTATTGAAGATGCTCAGAAAAGTGGAAGGAAGGTTTGTATTTACAACATTGGAAACTTCTTAACATTGTCTATCAAGTGTATTGAAATTAGTGTGATAAATTGAAGAGATGGGAAATGGATAGCTCTAAATTCATTTTGTATTCTTTTATTACATTTTCCCTAGTTCATACACACATTACCCAAGTTATGAATGAGTCAGATCCGTTCTTAAGTGTGTCTTTAAGTAGAGTTTGTAGTCAAGTCAGAATAGGTGCATACCATTCTTATTTAACCTTACTTTATTTGTTTTTAAAAATACATTTATTCTTTGTTTTTTAATTGTACCAATTTATGTACAAAATATTTGCCATTTCAACCATTTTTATACATGCAGTACATTCAAATTATACTCCCCATTTTGTACAACCAAAACTGATATCCATCTCCAAATCTTTTTTTTCTCTTTTATCTTTCTTCTTTTCCCCCCAGCTTTCTTTCTTTCTTTCTTTTTTTTTTTTGTGGAAAAGTTCTGCTTCTAATGGTTTGTCCTAATAAGAAAATAAATATACAATGTTTTCCTTCCAGTACATGGGGGAAAAAAGAAAGACATTTCTTTGCCCCACCCCCCTGCCCTTCCTTTTCTTTTTAACAACCTTCCCCATCACTCAAGTTAGCATGTTTCTACACTCTATCCATTGAATAATTCTCCCTTTCCTAACCCCTCTCTCTGTTACCATGATAGAATCTTTACTATATAGACTGAAAACCTTCTTGACTGTGTATTGTATTATATGAGTAGTGGTCTCATATATTATCTGTCCCTTTGGACAATATCATAGCCTTAATTTATAGCAAGAGTGGGGAACCTTTTTCTGTCAAGGTCCATTTGGATCGTTAAAACAGCATTTGGGTACCATACAAAATTACCAACTTAAACATTAGCCTGCTAATATTTTTGGTCAAACTTTTAATTAACTCACCCTAATGTAATGACTGAACTCCTGGTATGGTGCTATAAAATAAGCACTGGACTGTGAACCACGAGGTCAGCAGTTCAAACCTACCAGCTCGTCCTCGGAAACCCTATACAGGATTGCTATGAGTTGGAATCTGACATTTTGAGTCTGACAATCACATGGTTTACTATGCCACGAATGACAAATTCATCATCAAAAAGAACATATCAATATCCGTCTTGAAGTGCAACACTGTCTGTGATAGGATAATAATCATCGCCTACAAGGTGATGACAGAGTCACTATACCAGTATAATTCAAATTTAAGAACCAACCACTAAAGCCAGTGATGATGAAATTGAAGAATTCTACCAACTTCTTCAGTCTGAAATGATCAAATATGCAATCAAAATGTATTAATTATTGGAAACAAAAGTTGGAGACAAAGAGGAAGGATCAGTAGTTGAGAAAATATGACCTTGATGATAAAAATGATGCTGGAGATCACATTCATAGAATTTTGAAAGACCAATGACTTCTTCACTCCAAATACCTTTTTTAAACAACATAAAATATTACTCTACATTTGTTGTCTGGAGGGACCAGTCGCTGGAGAAGGATATCATGTTTGGTAAGGTGGAGGGTCAGAGAAAAAGAGGAAGACCCCCAGTGAGATGGATTGGCAGAGTTGCAGCAACAGTGGACTCAAGTGTGGCAACAGTTGTGGGGTTGGCCTAGGACCACGCAGTGTTTCGTTCTGTTGTTCATAGGGTTGCTATGAGTTGGTACCAACTTGATGGCACCTAACAATGACAACAACAACACACATGGACCTCACCACATGGCATATACAGAAATCAAATTGCCTACATCTGTGGAAAGAGATGGTGGAAAAGCTCCATGTCAGCAGTCAAAGCAAGGCCAGGTGCAGACTGTGGAACAGACCATCTATTGCTGATATGAAAATTCAGATTGAAGCTGAAGAAAATTAAAACAAGCCCATGAGAGCAAAAATATGACCTTGAATATATCCCATCTGAATTTAGAGCTCATCTGAAGAACAGATTTGATTCAATAGACACTAGAGACCAAAAAACAGAAGAGCTGTGGAATGACATCAAGAACATCATACAGGAAGAAAGCAAAAGATCATTGAGAAGACAAGAAAGAAGAAAAAAGATCAAGATGGATGTCAGAAGACATTCCTCAACTTGTTCTCCTGCGTAGAGATGCTAAAGCAAATGGAAAAAATGAGGAGGTACAAGAGTGAAGAAAAATTTCATAGGGCAGCCCAAGAAGACAAAGTGTGGGAAGATACAGAATTAGAAAACCAATAAAGGAAGAACACACTTAGTATTTCTCAAGCTGAAGGAACTAAAGAAAAATTTCAAGCTTCGACTTGCAAGATTGACGAATTCTATGGGAAAAATATTCAATGATGCAGAAAGCATCAAGGGAAGATGGAGGGAATACACAGAGTCACTATACCAAAAAAGAAACAGTTGATGTTCAGCCATTTCAAGAGGTAGCATATGATCAAGAGTCAATGATCCTGAAGGAAGAAATCCAAGGTGCATTGAAGGAATTGGCAAACAACAAGGCACAGGGAATAGATGGAATACAAATTGAACACATTCAAGAAACTGATGCAGCGCTAGAGGCACTCACTTATCTGTGCTAAGAAATTTGGAAGACCACTACCTGGCCAACTGATTGCAAGAGATCCATAATGGTGCCCATTCCAAAGAGAGGTTGCCCAATGGAATGCGGAAATCATTGGACAATATCTTTGAAATCCCATGTGAGTAGAGTTCTACTAAAGGTAGTTAAGAAATGGCTGCAAGCTTACATTGACAGAGAACTTTCAGAGGTTCAAGCTGGAGTTAGAAGAGGATGAGGGATATCATTGCTGATGTCAGATGGATCCTGGTTGAAAGCAGAGAATACCAGAAAGATGTTTACTTGTGCTTTACTGGTTACATATAGGCTTTCAATTGTGTCGATCATGACAAGCTATTGACAACATTGCAAAGTGTGAGTATTCCATAACACTTAATTGTGCTTATGAGGAACTTGTACATAGACTCAGAGGCAGTTGTTCGAACAGAATAAAGGGTGCCGAATGATTTAAAATTAGGAAAGATGTGCACCAACATTGTATTATTTCACCATACCTATTCAATCTGTAAGGAGCGCTGGTAGAATAGTGGTTACGAATCAGTCTGCTAACCTCAGGGTCAGCAGTTCAAAATTACCAGCTGTTCCACAGGAGAAAGATGAGGTTTTCTGCTTCTGTAAAGATTTACAGCCTCAGAAACCCTGTACAGGGTTGCTATGAGTCGGAACTGACCCACGGCACATAACCACCATTCTATCTGTATGCTGAGCATATAATCCGAGACGGTGGATTATATGAAGAAAAACGTGGCATCAAGATTGGAGGAAGACTCATTAGCAACTTGTGATATGCAGATGATACAATTTTGCTTGCTGAAGTGAACTTAAAATATTTACTGATGAATATCAAAGAGCACAGCCTTTGGTATGATTGCATCTCAATGTAAAGAAAACAAAAATCTTCACCACTGGACAAATAAAGAACATTCTTATCAATGGAGAAAAGATTGACGTTGTCAAGGACTTTCATGGAAGCAGCAGTCAAGAAATCAAATGACATATTGCATTAGGCAAATCTGCTGCACAAGACCTTTTTAAAGTGTTGAAGAGCAAAGATGTCAGCTT